AGTTCTTTCCAAGCGTAACTGGGATGTTGCCTTCTGCTGTCTATTAACGTCAAACTATAATAGTTAAGATACTTGTAGTAGCAATAATTTCAATTTAAAAGCTTTACACATGCTTATGTATTGCCATTGGTAGCACATTGCAATCAAGAAACTTGCAATACGCTTTAAATGCCGAAAAGCGTAGTAACAAGCCGATCGTAAACTTCGAGGACCTGCAGTTGCTTTAAGTTACTGTAATAGTTGTGTTCTGTTTATTGCCGAGACTTCGTTGAATACGTTGGTGTGGAACAACCTTAGGAGGGATTGTTTTATTGCTAATGTCGAAACCAGATTGCGGTGATGGTCCCTCGAATCCCCTTTCTGAAAGTGACGACGATGATGAACTTTACTCAACCGAAGGCCCCAACGTCGGGGCTTCTCCAAACTCGCATGCTAAAAGATCGAGACATTTGGTCGTGGCGGACTTGAGCAGCCTCAGCGATTTCCAAGACGACTCAAGCGGTAAATATACCTTATGAAAAGTGATTACTGATCCTTCCTTTTCAGACGATGACCTGGACGAGCTGAGTATATCAGGCATGTCAGGTATGGCAAACAGTGATGGTGATGATAATTTTATAGGAAGTCCTTCTTTGTTGAACGAAGATCATGTTCTCGGTTGGTACTCTTTATCAGTCTGAATAGTTTGTAGTCTGCTTGCAATTAGTACTTTTTTTTATTGAGTTGCTGTTTTCAGTACTTCTAAATGCTTATTATTCTTCAGCGATTAATCGTAAGCATTGAAAATGAAACTCTTCCCAACGGGCGCGTGGAAATGCATAAAGTAATTACGGGAATTGGGCCCGTGAAAATTTTTATTGTGCGAAGCTTTCGGGAATCTCTGTTCCCGTCTTCAGCGCATGAGTTATGGGCTTGTCACGTGCTCCAACACTAGCTGGTATACGATTCGCGGTATACTTCTGATTTGTAAACTATTAGCCTTGCATGTGTGCTTTAGTTGCTTTGCTTGCATGTAGATATTACTTTGACTTAGTTTATTCAGTTTTAACTCAGTTGTGGGTTTATTATAAGCACTATTCTCTTTTTTGCCTTGTAAGGGGCCGCGGTTTAAAACTTTGCGCAGAATAGAATTGCTTTCGGTCTTAAAGTCGTTAAATAATAGCACCTCTACAAGTGTGACTACAGTATGCTTCCTTGCAACTTCAGCATCACTTACATCGCACTTGTGACGCATTTTCGGCGTTGCAATGCGAGCCTGTTTGGTCATGTTGCAATCGCTTGAGTGATTGCACTTGGAAATAGTTGTTGTCCAATTTGTCCTGTAAGGTAAGACTGTGCAAACTTCCAGCCGAGCCTTTAGCCAGCAGCATTATTGACCAATGCACGTAGACGGGACTGTCGTCGGTTGATTCTTTGTTCTTCAAATGGATCTGCCATTTGCAGTTTGCGCATTTCCATCAATTGCTATTCATTTCAGAGTACCGAATGTACTCTCCTATGGACCCTCCTTTTGACGAGATGGACGCGCACAGTGGTACCGCCTCTTTGGGATCCGCAGAAAATATCAACACTGAAATTTCAGGTGCGTTTTTGAAATTCCTGAATTAGAGCAGTTTTAAAATTTATGTCACTTGAATTTTCGTATGCATGATTAGTTGTCTATATTGTAATTGCTTTTACGCTCTTCTGGTAAATAGTTAGCCTGTGTTTATTGCGGGGATAGAAAGTCTGGTGTTCATTCTCTTCGCTGACGCAAAGGACCGTTCCTTGCGGCTCTATAAAAGTAGAGGTAACGATCATTAAGCCCTGCTAAGATTTTTGCATAATTAAAAGCACTTGCTAACATGTGAATGGTTAGATATCCGTAACACGGTAAAGGAAAGAGCATTCCATTTGCAAACATGAATAGCGAAACTTTTGAAATAGCTTAACAGGCAAGAAGCATAAACACTACGCAGTCATGTGGTCGTAGGGTTTACGTTGTTTTCATGGTATACTGTGTGTTGTTCAGTTTGTTTGCTGTGCCGTGAACATATCATTAAATGAGCATTAAGAATGTCAGCAGACGACCTATCCATTTCACTGCAGGAATGTGTAGCGGGGTAACGGCTGAGTTAGAAGTCAGAAAGTTTGCAACTCTGACTTCGTGCTGAGACGTTTAAGTATGGGGCTACTCCATTTCATTAAAGGTGTTAAGTATTTGTCGCAGCCTTACGGTAAACTGAATTTGGCGTTGCTGTGCTTTAGGGAAAGTAAGATTAATGTCGAAACGATTGTCATAGGGATCGTCAGTTCGAAGATAAATGAACTATTCTCCGAAAGTTACAGCGTTACGTCAGCCTCAACTTTATGTAGTCTTCTCGCATAAAGCAGTGGCTCATTTTTCTTGACGAACAGCTGCATCATGTCTGGAGAATGTGTAGGAATGCTGAGGCTATTCCGCAGCATTCATCCTCATGAAGTCGTCACCTTTTCTCCCTTTAACCATTTGGTTTATTCAGTAGTACTTCTCCATGTCCATTTAGGGTACTTTGGCGCCAATCTGCTTATTTACATTTCAGGAACCCATAGGCAAAGTGACTAGTTTCTTTTGTTGTACTAATATATGAGCGCATGAATAAAAGCAAGTGCGTCAGATATTCTTACTGTAGGCTTTGGGCTTGGTTCCGGCTCATCCTCTCCGACAGCAGACACAGAAGCTCGGGTGGCGGAATCTAGCGAAGCAACTAATGCAGAAGCGAAGGTGCAAAGCCTCCCTCCAGGACTGAATGTGCTTAATGCCCATCATGAACGTCAATTGGGTTACAGCGCTCGTATTCCTCCATCTTACTTTTGCAATACGGTCATGGGCAATTTGGACTATGTCAAACGACTGGAATTGATGCACAAGTTGAAAGGCCACGACGGATGCGTGAACAGTCTTAGCTTTAACAAGAGCGGAACTCGTCTGGCCAGCGGTTCGGACGATTGCAACGTAATCGTTTGGGATTGGCCCACTGCGCAACAGCTTGTCAAATTCGATACTGGCCATCGTTTGAATGTTTTCCAGGTATGCAAATTTTTTTTGTTATCTCCTTTTTTAGCCAACTTGAATATTTGCAGTCCAAATTCGTACCGTGTA